ACAAGACTACATCAGCAGTGTAACAGACGTCACATCAAGAATATATCAAATATCTGATAGTAATACAGCTATAGTTATTTGATACTATAATAACAAGACTACATCAGCAGTGTAACAGACGTCACATCAAGAATATATCAAATATCTGATAGTAATACAGCTATAGTTATTTGATACTATAATAACAAGACTACATCAGCAGTGTAACAAAAGTCACATCAAGGATATATCAAATATCTGATAGTAATAGAGCTATAGTTATTTGATACTATAATAACGAGAGTACATCAGCAGTGTAACAGACGTCACATCAAGAATATATCAAATATCTGATAGTAATAGAGCTATACACAGCGTGGTCACAAGTAAATAGACACCACCTTTTCAGAAAAAATTTAATTTTTCAGTTATATTCACATGAATTTATATATCTATAATTTAATTAATATCTAGTAGATCTTCCTTTCACTTCATGGAATTCATTGATCCTTTGGGGCATCGTGAGAATCATCTCGTCAATTTTCGACTGTGGGATTTTCGGCCACTCTTGCTTCAAAACTTGGAGTAGATCGCTCTTCGAAGTTGGTTTTTTTGGTTGTTTCTTGACTAGCCGGTCGAGTATGGCCCAGAGGTTTTCGTTGGGATTCATGTCAGTAGATTGGCTCGGCCAGGGCAACTTCTGGATACTGTTTTCTTCCTGCCACTTTTGGGTGTTTCTAGCAGTGTGACACGGTGCTCTATCTTCCTGGAACAACATTGTGTTCTTGTCCACGAAACCCGAGGAATAAAGTGGCAAGAGTCCTTCCTCCAACATTTTGACTTATTTTGCAAAATTTATGTTGCCAACGCACTCCACTAAGCTTGATCTCACACCAACCCAAACCATCATGCTGAAACCACCATGCTTCACAGTTGGCTGCAATCTGTTGAGCCAAAACTCTTGGTGGGGCATTCTCCAAACCCATATCCTTCCACTGTCCAAAAATTGAGCGAATCTTGATTCGTCTGAGAACAATACGGTCTTCCAAAAGTCTAGAGGCTTGGTCATCACATCACTTGCCCACTTCTTTCGTCTGACTATGCT